TGTGCATGTTATAAGTTATAAATAAATATAAACAAACAACACTAACCCGATAACATTAAATCTAAATACCAAAATGATTAATTTACTGTGCTTTTGTTATTTCTTACTCCTGTTTTTAGGTATTTGGCCGAATAGTGAAAAATAGGCCGAATACCGAATAGTAACCAAATATTCATTACATCACTGTTCTAAACAATTCCCTGCCAAGTAATTACATCCCATCATAAATAATTCTAATGTTAACAAACTTTCTCATTTTCATCCTCTAGCTAAAAAAAAATTATATTTCTATTCTTGAACCCTTTATTAGAATATTTTCCTTTCATTAATAATATCTATCCTGTTATCAATCTGTGTTCATACTATTAGCCACATTCTCCTCTTTATTTTCCTTTGCTATTCATATCTTCTTCATTGATGTTATATCCTCATCTTATCTCTTCATATTTTTCTCTACTAGTGCCACACTCATCTTGTCCTTTCTACAATCATCTGTTTTCTTTTACTCCTGTGCCTAAATTCCATCTCATAGACTTACATAAATTTTTTGCTCATTAACTTCCTTTAAAGGCACTAAATACACCATTGCTTTATATTGTATTTTCCATCTTAATTCTTAAATTATTGAATGCAAATCACAAGAGAAGTGCAGCAATAATTTTCATCTTTTCAAGGATAATGTAAAAATCCCTCCCCTTTCATTCCTTAATGTCATGCATAAATTTGCTTTATACAAGGTTTGTTTTAACATTTATACAGACATGAGATCTTTCCAGCAGTAGCACTATAGTAGAGCTCAGCTACATGTCTAATGTTAAAGTGCCAAATTTGACCATTAATATCTCAAAGACCAACAGATCGATTGGGATAAAATTTAAAATATTTAGTATCTGAGATGAGGACTATGGAAGTTTTGTTGGATTGTTCTGCACTTATACTATTTAGCATTTTTTTTTCCCCACTAGATTTACTATGACAGCAATTTTTGTGACACCAATCTACCAGAAAATCTAGGAGTCTGCATATGCTTAATATCTCTTTCAAGAGCTGACCACCTCTTTTGTGGTCCTTTTGAATGTTTTATTTTAAAATGTTGAATATTTATAAAACCATTTTTTAAATATAAACATTTCATTGGTTGATCCTCTACCACATGATGTGATGTTTTGCAATTACTTTTAATCAATTAATTAATACAAGCCTAATGATTTAAAAATAGAGTATTTATATAATAATGTCCCATTTTACTTTTGTAGTATGTTTTGTAGTTAACACTTACTTTTAGATCAAATTACAGAGTTTTGTACATAATCATAAACTTAATTATAGCCAAAAAATCTGGCAAGTAATAAAATTCATTATATCACATTTTATTTAATACTAAATACTATTTATAATATGAAATTATTTATTTATGAATTTACTGATAAAAAATGTTTCTCCAAGAATCAATTTTTATAATAAGATTGGAAGATGTCATCAATATCAATTATCTTTTGTAAATAAAAATATTCTTTTAACTTATCTTTATAATTGTTGAAAACAATACCATAAAATTATTTTACCTTATTTCTTCATTCAATTTCTGTTTTATTGGCACAGAGAAAGTGAAACTGAAAAAAAATGAAGTTTTAAACAAATGAATAATTTAGTTATTTTAATAAAAATAAAATTCTACATTTCATTTAAATTGAAATAAAATTTAATTAAATATTACATTGAATTAATTTTTTCTTATTAAGTCAAAGATTCCAATAGATGAATGCAATTTATTAATATAAAATTAATGAATTTCATTTGATGATATCATCATTAAATGAAATAATTAATGTAATTAAAGATGATTAATCAGTTTGATTATCACATAATGGAGCTTATGTATACACAATGTTCACTTAATCCAAGGGAAAAGAGATTTTTCCAGCAAGATTGCATGAGTGTATGCATGCTATTTATGCTAAAATAACTGAAGGGAATCAATGTTAGACAATTGGCATAATATACAAATAATCTTACTGTAAAGGATAAATCCAATATTGCAGAAATTGATACCAAAACAGTGAGCTTTATTTTTGTAGATATGTTTGTATTGCTGCTGAAGGTGGTTGTTGCAAAGATGTTGATATTCAAGCATGGTGTCATGGATGGCATAAGCATTCCTGTGCCACTGGATAATTCCAGTATGCATCAGTCTCAGTCACAACCGATTCATCTATGAACAGTTTAACAAGCTTTTACTGGAATGTCTGGCAACCTAACAAGATGGCGGAACAAAACAGCACTATATTGGCATTTGCAGACTTATTTCATCAAAATAACTTTGGAATACAGATGAATAGTAAAAATGATGATGAAATCTTTTCATTAGCTGCTACTATTGTTATTATGAAGCCTAAAAGAATATGTTTCTATATGAAAATGATAATGTTTCATACTCATTTTCAAGCGTAGTCTTCTACTTACTACTAGCAACACAGCCTATGTTTCAATTACACATATTAAAAAAATTTTAAATCATTGTCAAATAATCATATATATCATTTAATTCTATATATTGTAATTAAATTACATGACAACCATCTTATTCAATTTTTATGATTATTTTATAAAGTCACTAAATATAACCATGGAGGCAGTCATACTGCTTCATTAGAGTTCACCATATCCATAACCGAATGAGTGTGATGCACATTGGCTGCTGCACTGGTGAACTCATCTGGAACACATTTTTGTACATTGCGGTTCACCGATGTGCTGTTTGATGCATACTGGAATGTACCCGCTGTTTCACTCTCTTGTATGCATCTTTTCAGCTTTCTATCATCATGCAGCACTGCTGAGTATGCATCTTCACTGATGCTTTTAAGTGACCAGAGGAAAAATCCAGAGTCACCAGAAATCTGAAAAATATGGTATCCATGGAAACAGGACTGTATTGTCCTATCTAACAGTTGCCAAATTTCTCTGCAAGCCACTGATACATGTCAGTCCAGGAATGATTTGACATGCCATCATGCTGCTATCAAGCCTGTTGATAAATGTGTCAATGGCAGGTCATTGAGCCATTAGTCCACTATGTTTAGGATATTCAGATATTGGTCACTATTCTGTATATCATCAATGAATATAGGATCAAAAACTTCTCACACCAGATGTTTACGGTAAAATACATTTGGTGTAGTGTATGTTGTGAGCATCATCAAGCAGGCTCTGCCCAGTGGTGTGTATCATGAGTTATACATTCCATTCAAAGAAAACAATGCCTCATCAATCCTTAAAATGTGCTGAAGGTGTTGTGATTCACTATGCTGTACCACTCAAATTGCCACACAGCATCCTCTGCACAGCAATTTGAGTGATACAACAGATAGCAGTGGAGTGGGTGAATTTTGTGGTTGACATATCTGGTGTATTTGTGTCTGCTGCAGTCCACATTTAACCTAATGTAACCTAGAAAGATCTCTTTCTTATCCTGGATAGATGTTTAAGTGGATACCTTGTATATCTTTTTCCCTTATGTTCATAAGGGAAAGAGCTTATTTTGATATCCATTGTGGATTTAGCCATGCTTGCTTTGAGATTAGACAACACATCTAAATTAAACCAAGCTCAGAATTCAATCCAAATTCTTCAGAGTGACAGGCTGACACCTCAATATGCTAACATTAAAGTGTCAGATGATGATTGTTTTATTTCTTGCTTTACCCAAGGCTGCTGGATAAATTACATTTACTCAGCAGCATTGGGTAAAGCAAGAAATAAAATAAACCATCAGAATTTACTTGGGTAAAGTACAAAGTACCCACAATACTTTTCGGTATAGCTGGTTTCTTTTTAGAGTTTAAAGCATGCAGAGCAATATAGCATTTGAAAAAAATGGCTACCAACAGAAAAACATATGTTTAAAAAATTATTTTGCTAAAAGTTTTGAGGAATTAATTTCTTTAAAAGGCATGAATAATTTTAAGTGATGAGAAATACTGAGTTTCTAAAGTCTTTGAAACATGCAAAAATCATCAGTTTCTAAGACATCTATGGACTATATTTACTATAGTCCATAGATACACAGTAAACATATTGAAAACATTCAATATGTTTACTGTAAGCAGAGTTGAGAAGCTGATCACTCCTGTTCCACCAGGTTAATCTAGCATAAGATATTTTGTGACAAATGAGGAAATGTGTGACATATCTGATGGAGAGATGAATGCCATATAATATGATGGTAAGCACAGGATGTCACAAACTTAATAAAAAATACAAAAATCTAACATAAGTTGTTAAGCTGCATTTAGAAATTTAAATTATGGAAGAAAGGATTAATTGTAAGGCCAATGATTTCTAATAAAATGAACAGTCATTCACAAGTAGATCTAATTGAAATTGTGATAAATGTTTTAAGTTTAATGATCTAACGAGACCATCTAAGTTTGTGCATTTACATGCATTAGAATCAAAAACAACAGAAGAGGTAGCTAGAAATCTTGATATTTTTTGCATTTTTGGAGCCCCTTCAATTCTACAATCAGATAATGGCTGAGAGTTTGCCAATCAATAGTAAATAAATTAGGTTCTATGTGGGATGGCCTTAAAATTGTCCATGGTAAGCTGTTCCACAGCCTATCTCAGGGTAGTGTCGAGCAGGCAAATCAAAACATCCAAAATATGTTTGTGATATAGAAGGCCTGTTCAAACAAGCCATATATCCATTCTTATTTCATTATTACAGTAAAACCTCAAATTAACAGACTAATTTGGGCAAGGGAGTTTCTGTTAAAACTGAATTTCCATTATATAATAGTGTAGGTTTTCTGAATAAATGTTATACTACTGTGAGAACCCAGACTTTATGAACAAAAGTTTTAATCAACAAAAAAGGGAAAATTAGTCAATACGATATTGTCAGCAGTGATAATTGTCAACTTTTCTACCTGAGAGCATCTCATCTTACATGTTCTCAATGCCAACAGATGCGCTTTTCCATGACCTTCTACCCTCCTGGCCATGTTCTACTGTTTTAATTTGACGAATAGCAGCAAGTTCAGGCAGTCATTGCTAGTTCCTCCAAGAGTAAAAGTCATTGTTGATTTCTTCACAAGTCATCATCACCTGCTCCTCCAATGATCTAGTCTGATCACCTCCTCCTCCAGACTCCAGAACAGAGCTATGCATCAAGTGTAAGGGGGTGACATTTCAAAGACTTGCATCATACTGAGAAAAATCTACCGCACAGCCCTGCTCCAGAACTAGAAATCTCAAACACTTTCCTTCTTTGGACTGTCCCCATAGTGCTGGACTCAGTCAACAGATGATTGTCCCATCCACAAAGTTGTTCTATTTCCAGGTATTTATAACAATGCATAATTTCATGTAAACTCTCTCTCTTGCAAACACTTCAGTGCCACTCTAGTATCAATTATCTATTTGTCTTGCTACTGATAGCATGTAGATCATATAACATAAAATAAATGGGTATTTGTTTTGTTGATCTAGTATCTGAGTGTCTCACATTCCTCCACACCAAATCCGACAGCCTACACACGACTCTCATGTAACGAATTTGAACAAAAATAAACAGCCGTCGCAACTTCTGTCTATGGCTGACAGGACACAGTAGTGCTCTTTTGACATGGCATCAAAGAAGTGCCAACCCTCTGGTCACACTAATTAATTAAGATTAGTAAACTACTGTGTAAGATACATTTGTGTAATCAAAATTAAGTACATATAGAAAACTTTTCTGGGAAATTCAACTTCATAAGTATCATTGCTTATGTACTCACCATAGTTCCAAGAATGTAATAAACAAGTATACAATCCAAACTGAAATAAACATGTTCCAAAAAATGTTTATTTATTTGTTTAGTTAAATACAATTAAAGTTTAGTGTTCTTAAAAAAAACTTTAGATTTGACAAAAACAAAAAATTTCCGATTTATTCATCTTTAGATGAAGATATATTGAGACACCCCCCACTGTGGCATGAAGTTGAGAGCAATGACTCTTGGATTTGAAAGATAAACATGTTAATTTAATTACATATAAAATGCATTTTAAAATTAACAGGGTAATTTTCACAAATGACAAAAGAACCANTCACCTGATATTCTGTATCTTGCTTTTTCATCATACTGTTCTATTACATCATCTTTCTTTGTCTTCAGAGATTCAATGCTGTTTTTAATAATTGATGGCACAGAAATTCCTCTTCTCTTAAATTTCTCCAGAGCATTTTCCAAACTGGGAATAAGAGATGTTAATATTTCACTAGATGATACAGGCTGAAATTCTTGAAATTTTTTCAAAAACTGTAGAATGCTGTCAATAGTAGCCACAGATAGGCTCAATTGTTTTATTAAATAAAGCTGTAAATGCTGATTTAAAAATGGAGTTTGAGAAGCTACTTGATTTATTAGTGAACTCAAATTGGCAGTTTCCTTAGCTTTAGATGTCTTTCCCAATGCTGTTATAATATTTGACATCATATCATTAGAAATGCTGTTTTCTTTTAACAATTTTATAAATCCACTTTTAGGACAATTTAAAGCCAGCAGTATCTCTGATGGCTCCTTTGAACAGAGTTCTTCCAATTTCTTATATCCCATTTTCCTTTCAAAGAAATTGTTTGATTGTTGTTTTTTATCTTTAAGCAGTTCCTCTATATTAAGGTCTTTTATTTGCAAGTTCTTATGTTTATTCACCACTTGAGCTTTTTCATTCTTATTTGTTGCCTTGGCTCGTTCAGCTGATTGATAATTTTGTTTTATCTCTGATGCAGCTTGAATTTGTTGGATATGTCTGAAAATTAAATTAAATAGAATATAAGTATCATATGTTCTTAAATAGAATTTTAAAAATTTCTAAATACAAAAATAATAGAAATTGAGATTTGAAGGATTAATTCATTAAAGAATCACTAAGTGATTAGAATTTACTTTTAAAAAATCATTAACAACACTTTTTTCTGAATTTACATTGAGTAATTAGACAAAATATCAGATTAACCATGGAACTGATTCATTACATATCAGATGAATGAATTAACAATACTACTCTGTATACTAAACTCAAAAAGAAAAGTGTAATATATATAGTATATAAACAATTTGCACAGTTCCTGCTTTATTGAGGTATAAATAGTTTTAAAAACTCCATTGCATTTTCAGGTTTATATCAAGTGTTGGGTGCTAGACACCATCTAAATGAACATTCTAAACTAGTGTTGCAACGAATAGTATATTTGGCCTCAGGTCGAATAGCCGAATATTCGGCCAAACTATTCGGCTCAACTAACGCACGTACGAAAATTGGCGCGCAAACCGCATTATGGCAAGGACCCTGCTCTCTATTGGTTCACTGTCACTACGCTTCGCCAAATCGCATTAATTCTTGACAGTTGTAGTGGACAGACAAGCGTCATGGCAGTATGTGATAAGTGATGATATCAAATGTGGATAACAGTGAAATGACCTACATGTGTAAATAATGGAAGAAGACCAGAGAAGAACCGCAAAGTGAAAATGTGAAAATAAATATGAAATTGAGTTGATAACATAATCGAACAAATCAAGACAGCTTATTGGCCCAAAATTTACGGCCGTGAATGCCAAACAATTGTTGTCATAGACTTTGGAAAGCGAAATGCTTGTAATGAAAGTCACTTAGCGTGCACGGGCGAAAGCCTGGAGTCGTTTGGGCTACCAAGCTGTTTCGAATCTGTGAAATCATAACTGTGACTTATACTGACATCCTATCTGTCTCTTTTCTCTGTTATCACCAGGCTATAAGTCACGTAATTGTAAAATGGGGAATCTACGATGGAAAAGTGACAAATCGAAAGTATCTTGAGGGCGTATTATGATGTATGCGTAGGCATACGTGGACTAGAGCGATAGAGGAAAGAGAAAGGGAAGAGCAAAGACGAGCGCTTAAAAAGAAGGATAGGCAGGGTCAGACCTCAAATGTGCGAGGATTCTCGAACGAATAGGTGTGTACGTGTGCTGATCTTTGTAATTATATAAGGACCTTAAATAAGTTCTCGCTGTTTTTTAACAGATGGCGTTACCAGAACCACGTGTGTTTATTTTTAGATGGTGACGCATCTGTAAGGAAGTACAATAAGCGACCTTGAAATTCAGTATATGTCATTTCACCGAAGTGTAAACAACTTATTTTTTCATTATGTTAAACATGTCTAGTTTCATGCCAAAAAAAGAGTATTTGCGGGGAATTTTATTGCACTATTTTATTCAAAAAAAATCTGCAGCTGAAGCACACAGAATTCTTGTTGAGACTTACGGCGACCATGCTCTGTCGGAAACAACATGCAGAGATTGGTTTAGACGCTTCAAAAATAATGATTTTGATGTTGAAGATAAAGAACGATCTGGTGCACCAAAAAAGTTTGAAGACAAGGAATTAGAGGCATTACTTCATGAAGACTCATGTCAGACGCTAGCTGAACTTGCAGAATCATTAGGAGTTGATCACACAACAGTTTCGAAAC